TCTTCCACGCAAAAATCTGAAATGTGCTAGTCTTCCACGCGATTAGTGAAATGTGCTAGTCTTCCACGCGAGAATCTGAAATGTGCTACTTTTCGACGCGAATAATGAAATGTGCTAGTCTTCGACGCGAATAGTGAAACGTGCTAGTCTTCCACGGTAATTTGAGATGTGCTACTCTTCGTTGGGAGCGACGATATGATATTCGGCATTATATTGCTAACACCTGGGCAACATTTCGGAATTATATGTTCATCGGTCCGCTTTTTAAGGCGTTTTTGAGGTTAGGTTTGTATCGGTGGTATGCTTTGAAATAAACCGATTGCGCCCAATTTTTGAGAGTTCACACATAACGTTATTAAAAATATATGGACAAAATTTCGGAGTCATATATTCATTTTCAGTCCTGTTGATACATACATATTTATGTGTTCATTTACACACACGACTAATGTGGCGAAAAAGCCAGTGGTAGCGAAAAGTGTTCCGTTTCCTGATATAATTTATCATAAACCCGAAATTCTCGTTGATATGTTGTGTTGTTAAATAATAAAAGATATGCATAACCACAAAGAACAATGGAATTCTAGTAGTCATGTACATACATACATATGTAGACATCTGTACGGTGGTTTATTGTAGATTAGAGAAAAGTTCGGGGTAATCTTGATCACCGTGCTTGCTAGATACGCGTATTATTGTAAAAAAGTGCTAAGTATGAAATGTGGATTACGGCCACAACTGATGGCCGCGATTTTAGATACATACATACATACAACGCGGTTATTAATGCAGTAATTTACGTAGATTATTATTATAATTTATGTAGATTTTAATTATGTGACCACAGTGTTTTGTCTATTAATTTTGATGCATAGACAGTTATTTTCCTGACGCCCCCCGATGAGTTCTCTGGCTTGTGGAATTTCTTCGTCAACCAACCAAAAAAGAAAAGTTAGACTTTTAAAAGATTTTTGCTGGCTGCCTCTGTAAAATATTCTAATTTTAAAACAAGAATGCATAAATAAAAATTTTAGATATTTTAATAACCGACTCTAGCAAGTCTCGGTGCATTTGCTTAGCGGCCATTTTGTATAGCATGCTTAGGCCTAGTTTTCACGTCGAATTTTCGATGCACCGTTGTGCGTAGGTATGTACCTCTGCTGAATTAGTAGCAGCACGTTCCGCTTCACAAAAAACAGCAGAAATATAATTTGTTCCTGGGATGCATTAAAAACGTCAGCCACAACAAAAACTGCACTGGTTTTGTCTTCGACCAAATAGCCGACGATTTCCAGTATCCAGTTGATACCCATCGTAATGAACAAGCGAAAAAAGAGCCGTAAATACTTCTGTTCGGCACTGTATATATATTTAAAACTGGCTCAAAGCATATGAAGTTTTCCATGTAATTTATATAGGGAAAAACAACTTTTTCGTAGAAGTGGTATAGAATTATTTTGTAAATCAACATTTTTCCATCGGAGAACTCTGTTTTGGTTCATGAGCCTTCCAATAATAATACCTAATTGTTTATTTTACAACTTTTTAATACTAGCGATTTTTTATGTGTGCGTCCATTACATTTTTTTTCGGTGTCTTTGGGGGACCCATAAAAAATAGTTAACATCCTATAGTTGCAGCAGATTTTAAACTAAACCTATGTGTCTTATATAAAGGCGTTTTATCTTTTTCATAAAACCCACTTTTATTGAAAATATACTAATTACAATCGCTTACTTCTAATTTTATAAATTCTTACATAAAACTTAACCTAAAAAATCCTAGAATGCATTTGTAGAGACATTTATTGTACGAATATTAATACCAAAGTTCTAATGGACCTAATGAATACCTCCAACTTAATAAACTAGCGATTAGCTTTACGTATTTGGACTTTTATAAGTTCTTTAAATAAATTTATAAATTGTGTAGATGTTTAAAATTGAGTTGCCAAGAATACTCAGCACTCTCGTATGAAGTCAAGAGATTTGTATGCAGAGAAACTTGTTTGAATAGACAGAAATTATATAGATATTACTTATGTATTTGTAGGTGACATGTGTGGATACATAGTCTATCTATGCTGTGATCCTTAGTTCCGGACTTTCTGTCGACTTGCCAGATTAGCTAAGAAACAGTAATAAAAAACATACAAAATTAATTACAGTACATGTGTGTGTGTAAAAATAGAATTATTAGAAAAGACCAACAAAACCAACAACCACCACATGATCAAGTGAATTGCAGCGGAATAGCTGCGCTTGATTGTGTTGGCATAACAAAAACAAAAAAAAAAACGAAAAACGAAAAAGTGGGAAAAAGCAAACTTAGCACCACAGTGCATAGGCAACAACTAACTGGCTGAGTAAGTGGGCTCGTCGGTTCGAAGCCTACTGAAAGAAGTCTGATGAGGAAATGTGGTGATTTCCGAAATAGCTATCCATTCTACCATTTTTTTTTTTCACATTATTGTTGCTTTTCCACAATAAGTTTTTCATTAAAAACGGCCTCAAGCTCATTAAAAATTGTTGAAGGAAATAATAAATTTCGTAAGCACATTGTAAAAACGTGGAATATTTTTGGAATAAATTTGAAATTTACACCCATTTTTATTATTTTTTTTTTTTAACTTTTACAACAATTTTTGCCAAATTTTAAAAGAAAATTGTCTCTTTTAGTTGCTACTTCGAAAAGAATGTTTAATTCTGTCTAAAACTAAGTATCATTCATTAAAATCAACTAAACAAAAATGTGAAGTTATGACATTTTTCTAAAGAGAATCTAAGTGAATCCAATCCAATTGTTGTAGAAATGACAAAAATTGGTGTAAATTTCAGATTTATTCAAAAAATTTTCCACTTACATACATATGTACATATTTACAATGTGCTCACAAAATTATTTCTTTAAATACTGCATATCGATGGCCGAGTGGAAGATCGACCTATCTCGTCGGCAGCCAGTTCGAAAACATTCTATGTCAAAAAACTTTTCTAGAACGCCCTATTTCAGGGACTCAGCCATCGATATACATATTCTTCTTTCCAAAGCCATTATAAAAACTTAAAATTGGGTAAAAAATAACCAAGCTAAAAATTTTTTCATGCCAACATCCTGTTATTGGTCATCACTTTCTCAGGAAATTGTAATGTGCGAATCATTTGATAAAACATATAAAATTATTGAATGCAATTTTTTCATTAACTTACTCAGTTCCCTGGTCGATGCACTAGATTTGGTTGTTCGCCCATTTGATGACTGCACAGTGCTATCCGATTTAAAGACTCTAAAACCAAAGCAAGTAATGTAAATACCATAGTTTAGTAGATATTTATATTGGTCATCGAGGAATCAAGCGGATCAGATTGAAGAACGTATGTATGTATGTATGTATGTATGCAAATCGTCGTTATCAATGTATGTATGTATGTATGTCAAAGGCCTAATTGACTTTTTTTTTGGAAATATGAGCTTTTCGCATTGATGGCGACGATATGAATGTTAAAGTAGTACCAAACATGCTGTAGTTTCTAAAATGTATATCAAATAAACACAAACACCTATGTATGCAAAATAGTATTTTCCTAAACATTTCATGCGATTGCAACCCACTTCAAACAAGAAAAGTAAAATTAGTGTCCTTTAAGGGAATAAATGTGCAGCAAGCCTAGATCCATTCGACCGTAAAAAACCGTTAGTAACACCATAACCAAATACGAAAACCGAAATCCTTTGTTTTTTTACCTATTCATTTACTCATTTCAATATCGAGGGAATTCCATTTGTGACAGTTTGCAGCGCTACGTCCTCTTCAGAGCACCGCGAATCAGCTGAGTCTGTGGTATCAGACCCCTCAATGCATAAAATTCTTCGCGAATTATTAAGTTTTTATTTCAAATATTGCCAATTTAGAAATAATATAATAATAAATATGTTAGAAATTTACCTCTTCTTTATGAGTAGCAGCACCTTCTTCTTCATAACCAACAGCACAAATAAAATCAAACCCTGGGAAGCGTTGTAAATGTCGGCGAATGCGAAAATAATGGCGTACTCACTCTTACTGCCAACGATATAGCCCAGCACCTCCAGCAACCAACCGATTCCCATAACAATGAACAATCGAAAGAAGAGCCATAAACTAAAGTATTTCATTAAATTGGTTCTTCCATGGTTGGTGAGCATACAAATACTCACATGAGGCACACGTTTCATTAAAGAAGAACTTACTCATTTTTTTGGGAACGCAAATGTCGCCTGCTGTCTTCGCCCTGAGAGAACATTTTCAATTCCTTTCGTATGGTGTAGATCCGCTCAGCGGTTAGGTAAAATATAACCATGTTGAAAACAATAAGCACTAGGCAGGGTCCGTAGAAATAAATCATGGCTGACCAGTCGTCAACTTCACGCGGAATTAGAGACTCAAAAGTTATGTGCGACTGCATGAATATTTATTTACACGCGAACGTACCTTTCAACCAACAATGGGAATATCCTATACCGGACTTGAGTTTATTTGGCAAATCGGAGTACTGCAAAGCTATAGTCAAAACGGTCATGAGAGCCGGCAGACCCCAAGCGTAGAGAGCGTAGTAGAAGAATCGTTTTCTCTGAGTCAAATGCTGAACATTTCCTTTGGTGCCGCGAAAATTGTGCCAAAGATCAAAACAGATGACATTAAGCCAGAAAAATACCGCCGTGAGGAAATAGTACGTCACAAATCCTGTCGAAATATATAAAGAAAATGCGTTCACCAATTTGCTTATTTTCTAAATCTTAAAGCCTATAAAATGAAATTTACCAATAATGGCGCAAAGCAAGTTGTCGTAATCCGATTTTTGGATGTTTGTCACTACAATCATCGTGGTGCCAATAGCTAACGACAGTAGATAGCAAATTAAACATTTGGTGTGCAAGTTCCACAACTCCGGGATGAGCCAGTAGATCAGAATGGTCGCATATAAGAATGGAGCAGAAATCATCAGAACTGCGAAGAATAAAGAAATTCTCGTTCATAAGTATTTGATTTGAAAAGATTGCAAGTACACTTTCACCCACTTATCGTGTTGAGCATGAGTGTTGGAGGCTCCTCATAGGTAATGGGACAATTCATTGGATTCAGCATATATTTTCCATCTTCCGCCTTATATCCTTGCAGGCAATAATCCCGTCTTGAAAGGAGCACCTGATCACTTGTGCGTAGCAGTGTACCATTCTGTAACAAACGAACGAGTATGCGTTTCAATTAATCAATTTAATCTTTCATGGCTTACCTCAAACAATTCCCAACGGTGTTCTTCATATTTATGCTGCATAAGCATGTATGCTCCACCGCAGGGGATTCCTTGCTGCACCACAAATTCATCCAGGACATGCATCAAAACCTGGCTGTTATTACGTAAAGTAATATTTACGAAGGGCGAATAAGAAAGCTCCTCACTCAGCTTCTCATTACATTTGGAATCGGAGTCCTTGCTTGTGCGATACATTTCCGCCCGAGGATGACAGCAAAACTTTACGCATCGTTTGAGGCGACACACACAGCCTCGAATGTGTTTCTTCACATGCTGACGTTCTCCACCGTACAGCTCCACAAAGTTGTAGTGGCCGATTAGAGCAGGTGGCACCAACACACCTTCATAGAGGTAAGATCCGTTGCTGAATTTTTTGCTGGCGGTCAAATTGACGGTGTCCTCAAAGGCGCAATTGGATATTTCCGGCAAAGCATTAATGTGGCGAAAGAGATAGGGGGCTCCGAGAAATAGTGCGAAGATAAAAGCCTTCATTGTATCGAGTGGTAAATTTTGAAGGTCCGGATAATGCTTAAGAATAAAGGAAATCAAAGGTTCAATTGTGGCTGTTTATTAATTAGCATAGAAGGATATATCAACATCTAACAAACTAATTATTTAAACAAACAAACAATTTTATTTAAATGAAAAGATTGTTCTATACCGAAAAGGTATAGATACCCTCATTTTTTTTATTTTTAAATCAAAAAATATTTAGAGGTCGCGCAAAGCGCTTAAAATTTGTCATGTATTTTGTATGCGGAAAAACGACTTTTCGTAGAAATGGTATTGAAATAAATATTTTTCGATCAGAAAACTCTGCTTCCCTTCAGGAGATTCCAAATAATAATACTTAGTTATTTATTTAAACATTTTTTCATAGTAAATATGTTTTATAGGTCCGCCAAAACGCCCAGAAAATGCAAGAAAATGTAAGGGGGGATAAATAAAAAATCTTTAGTATTAAAAAATGGTTAAATAAACGATTGGGTATTGTTATTGGAAGTCTTCTGAAGAGAACCAGAGTTTTCCGATAGAAAATTATTGATTTTTAAGAATTCCTCCATACCATTTCTACGAGAAGTTATGTTTTCCCCCACATAAAATACATGGAAAACTTTGAGCGTTTTGAGGGACCTCTAATTATTTTTTTTAATTTCGAAATAAAAAATAGGGGTATACTTTTCGATTTAGAACAAGCCTTGGCGGTGAGAGCATTAAAATTCCGACTTTACTTATTTTGGACAACCCTAGTGTACAATCTTGACTGGCATTAGCTCCTTTGGTATGGTGATTACCTCCGTTAGGAAAAACACTGCAGTGATTTTTGAGCCTGAATTTGAGATTGATAAAAAGAAGACTAGGCTCTTTAAAATAATGGGGGGAAAACTGAGTTTTCTAAAAACTCCTAGGGGATACAAGAGATACATTGGCTGTCTTGAGTATAAAAGAAACATAGGAAGCTCACTGAATATAGGCAAAATCGGACTTTTCTAGCTGATTAGGTATGATGCAATCCAATCGGAACTCGGAGCCTTGAAGGCTGAGGGAATTGGTAGCCGAGGGCAAGAAAGTCGGTTTTAATTTTTTCATTTATTCGCACAAATTTTCTTAATAGCTTAAATAACCAACAAAACATGCGAAGCTTAAAGCCGAAATTTGGTTTAATGTTTTTACTTATCAGCATTCAATGAGTCACCAACTGGCTACACAAAGCCGTGCTTTTTTATGAAATAAATAATAAATATATGAGTTTCCAGTGAATACTCCGACGATAAAAGTTCATAAAAACTTAAACAACATTCTTATCAGAAATTTTGCCTTCCAGCCGGCAACATCGGAGGGCTGCGCTAAATCAGCATTTGTCATGTTTGCTGGCAATGACTTTCCTTATAGCTGAAAAAATAAAAAATTACCACACGCGTACACCCGAGGTTAGGTAATAGTAGCACCAGAGCTCAAACAACAAGCTCCGTGTAATTTGTTGTTGGTTCTGTACTCTTCAATGTCAATTTACGAAAAATTCAAATCCTCTCCTCTGCTGCTGCTGTCTTGCGTCTACATGGACAATAATCGGGATTCTTTAGTTATTTACGTTTTATTGCTCAAAAGAAAGATAGGATATTATTTCTATCCCAGATTTTTGAAATCAAAACACTTCTACAATATAAAACACACACAACATTATTTATAACTCTTCTTTGGTTTACGACGGCTAAAAGCTGCAAATTGTTTATAAGCATGCGACCTCCGATTTTATCGAATAAAATTTAATTCATAAATACATAATACAATTTAGCCGGCCTCGTATGCTCGAGTATGTGCATTAGGGTGGTCCTTAAAATTAAATTAACGATTGTTTTTTCAGTCTCACAGCCCCCTCGATCGGTAATACCACGATCACAGAGATCACATATATAGTTTGGTTCCGATTGGAGACGGTTAAGGCGTGTCGCACAGTGGGCAAAGTGCAGATTCCTCTATAGAGGCTCTAAAAATTTGAATTAATTTTTTGGTCCCTATTGCAGTCGTTTAAGACGTTTTTATAGGGTAATCTGAAGTTTGACCCCTATGCGGCACGCTTTAAACGACTCCAATCGGGACCAAAATTTATATGTGATATCTTCCACTATAGTAGCAATGACTTAGGGGTTGAGGCTTATGAAATCTGATGTAAAAATTTGCATTCCTGCATTTGCGGACCAGCCTAATGTACATATACGCATTTGGAGAAATCAGGTGGCAACCCTCTTCAAAAAAATAAAACCTTATTGCACTTCTAAAGACTAAGACTTTTCATTTGACAGCGACGATGTACAACTGATACCTTCGCTTATTAATATTGAATATAGTAATTTCCTTAACGGGTGGCAACCATCATAAAAAAATAAAACATTGATGCTTATTTAATAATCTTATAATTTTTTTAGACAGGTGGCAACCCAATAGAAATTCTAAGTACCAAAGTTCAGTCTCTTATCGATACAGCATAACTAGAGAAAATCTTGTCCAAATCCGTTGAGTAGTTTTCGAGATTAGCACCCCTATTGCGAGTGTCGACTGGCAGTAGATAAACGACTATTAAGCGATTATCGATTATCGATGGTATTGTGAGTGTCGCTTAGTCGNGTCAACCATTCACAATAGCACACATTTTTATCGATCAAGTTACACAATAGCAAAATAAAAGATGATCGACTCGATCGACAAATTTCTATTCTACTGCCAGTCGACACTCGCAATAGGGGCCTAGAAGATAAATAGTTTTAAATAGGAGTTTACAGAATTTGAATGACTAAATGGGATTTCATTTTAAAAATCAGTGATGGGCATACATACATACCCAACGATTTGCTGGAATATTACGTGCTTATATTAATCCAAGTGAAACTTAATGGAATTGCTTGTTTTTCGCTGGTTTTAGCCCCCTGTCACTTGTTCTCAATCAATTTTGGATACTTTCCATAAAATTATTTGAGGAATAATTATATGTACATACATAAATATATATATATACATTAGACTGCAGCACCAAAAAAACTTGCGGTTTTTCCACCGGGATTACAAAATTTATTATATTTTAAGACGTCCATCAAAATATTTCGGAAAATATTAAGCTTTAGGCGAGCTGAATAGTTTCTTAAAGAACTTTTTGAAAAAGGTCCCCTCAGATGACAAAACAGATTAGGCCTAAAAAAATCTGCATACAAATATTTAAAAATCTTTTCAACGGATTCATAATAATGAGATTTTTGATGCTGGTTATCTACTTTTTTCAAAGAGTAATTTACGAAAAACTTAAATAACTGGGGCAAAACTATTCTGATTTAGACTTATGGCTTCCCGGTAGAAGGTAAATCTTTCGATTTTGTAAATTATTAAAAAAAAAATGATATTTGAGGATTAGGTATGGTAGCATGAAATGTCACAATCTGCTTAATTGTCATGTAGTTAATATGGCGCCCGAAAAGTGACAATGAAACTACCTTCTTTTTTGTATCATGAAAGAATCAACATTGAACTGCGACAAAATGAAAAGAAGGGAGCACGAATTTCGATGTGCAGCAAAACTCTCTGGGAAGACAATACCTGTAATTATTGTACCATGGTTCATGGGTATATACATATCAACATGCATACATACATAAATATCTATGTTTGTCTGGCATTCAGCGTTGCCAGCAGAGCGCATTTTTCCCCGTTTTGCGGGAACGTTGAACAAAAACGGAATGGCGGGAATAAAAGTGGTGAAAACGGGGAAAACCGCATCCGCCGTGCCCATAAATATTTCATTAATACTATTTGGCTAAAATAGTGTGCGGTAAACTCATGGGAAAACTGTATGGAATTTAAAGTTTAGTTACGCGAAGAATCTCGTCCGTCAGCATCCGCCTCCAATCAAACTCGAGCATATTGCACAATATGTGCAGCAAGCCTTCTTCTTAATGGCTGGTTTTCACTATGTCATATTTAGGACGCCAAAGATTTGTCGACAAATTTTGACAGAACTTTATCTCCTTTATCCATACCTTTACCGATAATTTGGTGTGCCAAAAACAGACAGATTGCCGATTTAACAGCACACGTACACGACTAAAGACCTATCCTGACCTATCCTCCTTATTTGACAATGCGAAATCCATTGAATATCACATAGTGAAAATAAGCCTTAAGAAATTTTAGTTGCAAAAATATGCAAAAAGCATGTTCAAAAATATATGTAAGTCAATTCATGATAACTAATTGCCAGCTGAAAATTTCGCAGTTCACTAATGGTTCGGTATCACATCAAACTAAAAATGCAGAGCACAATATTGTATTTTCTGCATTTGATCACTTATCAGTGCTGTTGAAATCAGTATTCAGCGATTCCAAAATTGCATCACAATTTCACACGAATTATATGTACAAATAGCGCATAACTAAATGCAATATATGTTTTAATGTAATTTTTTAAAATTAATAATATTACATGTAAATTTAATTGTTATTGACTGAGTTGTTAAAATACGGTAATTGATCGTACAAAAAAATAAAACGCGGAGAAAAATTGATTTGCCATTTTTAAAAACTGGGTTATATATAAAAAGGGAAAAAAACGGGAAACCTAAATTGAAAAATGGGAAAAATATATAGAATTGCATGGACAAAAAGAGAATAGACTCGCCCGAAATCTGGCAACACTGCTGGCATTTCTTATAACTTTATGCATTTAATGATCCTGCAGAGGTCGTTCGCATTCACATTTATGTATCACAAATTTTACACATTAAGCGCTCATTCACCATTCGGCANTTAAAGTTTAGTTACGCGAAGAATCTCGTCCGTCAGCATCCGCCTCCAATCAAACTCGAGCATATTGCACAATATGTGCAGCAAGCCTTCTTCTTAATGGCTGGTTTTCACTATGTCATATTTAGGACGCCAAAGATTTGTCGACAAATTTTGACAGAACTTTATCTCCTTTATCCATACCTTTACCGATAATTTGGTGTGCCAAAAACAGACAGATTGCCGATTTAACAGCACACGTACACGACTAAAGACCTATCCTGACCTATCCTCCTTATTTGACAATGCGAAATCCATTGAATATCACATAGTGAAAATAAGCCTTAAGAAATTTTAGTTGCAAAAATATGCAAAAAGCATGTTCAAAAATATATGTAAGTCAATTCATGATAACTAATTGCCAGCTGAAAATTTCGCAGTTCACTAATGGTTCGGTATCACATCAAACTAAAAATGCAGAGCACAATATTGTATTTTCTGCATTTGATCACTTATCAGTGCTGTTGAAATCAGTATTCAGCGATTCCAAAATTGCATCACAATTTCACACGAATTATATGTACAAATAGCGCATAACTAAATGCAATATATGTTTTAATGTAATTTTTTAAAATTAATAATATTACATGTAAATTTAATTGTTATTGACTGAGTTGTTAAAATACGGTTATTGATCGTACAAAAAAATAAAACGCGGAGAAAAATTGATTTGCCATTTTTAAAAACTGGGTTATATATAAAAAGGGAAAAAAACGGGAAACCTAAATTGAAAAATGGGAAAAATATATAGAATTGCATGGACAAAAAGAGAATAGACTCGCCCGAAATCTGGCAACACTGCTGGCATTTCTTATAACTTTATGCATTTAATGATCCTGCAGAGGTCGTTCGCATTCACATTTATGTATCACAAATTTTACACATTAAGCGCTCATTCACCATTCGGCACATACGCACGCGCATTTGTTGTAGTGATATAGTATATATGTATGTACATATATATACATTTGGATGTAAAAGTATAAATATGTATGTATGTATGTATGCCTACGTGTATATCTTGTCGCATTGCACATATGTATTTGTGTTATAAGAGTTTTAAGAGAGAGCTGCACTCTAAAGGCCCGTTTACATACAACTTTGGCGTTGCGTTGGCGTTGGCGTTGGCGTTGGCGTCGCTTCGACATCTGACTATGATTACATGCATTTATATGAAAGTCTCCACATAACCAAAATTGGGCAACGTCAACGCAAAAGCAAAACAGAGAGATGGCAAAAAGCGCAGTTACCCTCGGCCGTAAAAACGGAGAACGTATCAGCTGACACGATCTATCTTATGGGATCTGGGTGTTAAGAAAAACTCACCACCGCATGACCGTGACGTAGACGTTGCATCTCTATCTTTCTACCAACAGCAAACTTGATATGTTTCTACGTACTTCTACGCTACGCTACGTACACGTTCGCGTGCGTCGTTCGTCAGCTGTTCCAAATAACCAAAATTATGTGAAATAATTTTCCATTTTTAATCAAATGCGGACAAGAAATAGCGTTTTAATGCATTTATTGGTATAAAATCTTTATTCGCTGCTAGGCGTTCATTGTAGCAAGCAGGGGCGTTACTCGCCAACGCCAACGCAACGCCAAAGTTTTATGTGGGTGGGCCTTTAAAGGCCAACGCCAAAGCCAACGCGTAACTTCTATGTGGACCGGCCTTAAGTGTCATGTTTATTGATGCGCGTCGCTTTTACTTTGTGTCGATTTAGAATACCAGAATGAAAGTTGTTTACCTTTTTAAGTGCATCAGAGTGCAAAACCAAACATATTCTTGTATATATGTATATTTTAAATCTGGTAATTCAGTCCAAATTTTTCAATATGGTGCTTCTTTTTGTATATTTGCTTCGCGTAAACAAAATCAAAATCTTTATATTTTAACGCAACGATTTAGACGCCCCGAACTCGCGCTTGTTAGCCGGCCAAGTAATCAATTGCAACTGTTCGAACGTTCCTTTGGAGTGGAAGAACAAAGCCTATACACAGGGTTGCCAAGTTTTGAATTTGAAAAAGCACTAAAACCCCCAAAAAAAAATCGCGTTTTTTTTCTCGAAAAAAGCACCAAATTTTTATTGGAGTATTTAATGGACTTTGTATGCAAGAAAAATTGTATTGTAGGGATGCCGATTCAAATTAATAAAAAATCAATTTATTCTGTTTTCTATAAATTCAAATATTTTCATTCAAGCGACCTTAAGATTCTTGTTCTTGTTTTCTAATTTACAACTGTGTCCAGCGTTGCCACCTCGCTTAGATGTAAGCAAAATTGATTAATTTTTCCTGACTGTTAAAATACTAAAATTTTCTTTGTTTTGCTAAATCGTTTCTAAAATTCCTATCAAACGAAAGAAAAACCCAGTAATGAAGTTTCATGAACTAAGTGGTAGTTTAAATCTACACTGCAGACTCTTGTGATCTTGTGAACTAAAGGAACATAAAGAAAATTTTCTGTGTCTTATTTGAGCGTCTTTTCCACTGGCGCATAGTGGAAAACATATTTTTGTGTCAAAAAAGCTGTCTGCTCATCAAATCCCACCCGATTTTGATTTTTCTATTTTTTCAATAGTGCTTTTTTGAAAAGTCGTATAAAAAAATTCAGCCCGAACTTAAGGTCTAAAGAGCGAATGTAATTTTGACATGATTGAAAGTGCTGCCACATATTTGGTTGGTAAACATATGCTCTCTCGCTTATGATTGTCATTGTGACATAATTTTGTTTCAATTTTTGTAAAGTTTCTTATAAAACTTACAATTGCTATAAATTGTGCCCCCTGTTTGTCGAGATTTACAGATTTGGTGTCTTCAAACTAAAAAGAAAAGTACCAAAAAACGTACCAAGCACTAAACTCTAAAATTTTCGCGTTTTGAATGAAGCAAAAAAAGGACTAAATTTAGTGCGAAAAGCACCAAGTTGGCAACAGTGCCCATACACAGATTCAATGTTGATTATTTTACTTTTAGGTGGCTTTGCTTTTGGTTGTCGCTCAATTAAATTTTTATAATTTTTCAAAACAAAAGAAAAACAGTTTGAAATAAATTTAGCAATAAAAAGGAGTTTGGCGAATCGTCGGGCAGCAAAGTGAAGAAAGTTTTTCTTGCACATAAGCCAAATTGATCAAAATAGCGTAGTACAAACCCACCATGGTACAAACCAACAATAAAAACATAATTTTGAAACTGATCATTAACTCATGGATAAAATAAAAATTTTTGTTTTGTATACTAAGCAAATGTTTATAATTCGGATTTTGCAAATTAAATAAATTCTCTGCACGTATGGTGAATAGAAATATTCCTTTCCCTTACAGTAAATCTTTTAGTGTGGGCAACAATGATATTTTTCAAATGACGAAGATGCAATCTCTGGGAAGGCAATACCTGTAATTATTGTACCATGCTGCATATGTATGTATGTAGGGATCAGCGTTGCCACTAACAATTTTTTTCCCCCTACCAATTTTCTTCCCAAATCCGACCAAAGTCATCTACAACCTACCAAATAAATTTCAATAACAAAAAAGCATTCTGAAAGCATACAATTTCACTTTTCGAATACAAAACATTTACATATGTAATTTGTACATTTTAAAACAAACAAGAAATAAATAAATGCAGATACAGTCTTAGGCACAGAGATGAGATCATTTAACATTTCTTGGTTATATGAATTTTATACATATGTACATGTTATGTAACAATAAGTTTAATTTCTTAAAAGTAAATTTTAAATCAAATAATGACATATAGCGCGGGTAATTTTTGTTTACAAGTTCCTTGCATAACATTATGCTATTGATACTGTCAATCTTAAGTTTTTATCAAAGAAAGCGTTCTACGGCCGCAGAGCTATGTGGTAATGAAATTATATTAAAACCAAAATTGGCGAGATGCATGAAGCTATTTTCTTTCATTCCATTTTTAATAGAATAAACTTTTTCCCAAAACATATCAATGTCCAGATCGCATTTGTAAAAGTTTTATATCTTCTCTATGTAAAACTTTAATAATATTATACTGGTTTTAACTTCAAGGATTCCAGAACAATTGGCATTACTTTTCAAAAACATCTCAGGTTTCGGTCCAACAAAAATATCAGATATTTTCGTAAAAGCAGGATATAAAATAAAGTTTCAAACTATCCCATTGCTCAACTATTCTCAACACAACGCGTCCTAGTGAAAGCCATCCTGTTTGAGATATGCCCAAGATTTTGTAGGGTTTTACCGAAGAGTAGTCGTGAAATTGCTTCAGCTCATGTATCCTCTTTGGACTGTGGGAAAAGAAACTATATATGTTGCGGCACAGTGTCTCAATGCTTTTCAGCAAACTTTTTACTAGCTTAGCCTGAGCAAAGGTGAAGTAAGTGGCATGTGTACTTTATATAAAATAAATCGATTTCTGCACTCAATAATGTTTTCAGCCCGCCCAAGTCTCCAACCATAACATTGGCTCCATCAGTGGATTGGCAAATGTTTAAAAGGTACAATTGGCAAATATTTATATGCAAAATGATGTTTGAGATATATATATTTTCATAGCTAAGAATTTAAAAACTTAATTCAACTATCCGACCAAAATCTTACTTTGCCGACCAACTTACCAAATGAAAAAGAAGCGACCAAATTTGGTCGGAAAATACCAATAGCGGCAACACTGGTAGGCATGCATTGATCATATATGTGTGTTTGTGTAAGCCCTCACAATAGGTATGCATATATTTATATCGAATACACGATTTTTGAAATTTAAGTCGATCATTTCACATACATATGTACATACCTACATGGCTGCATAAATACATACATACGTAGGTATATATTTATAAACTTTCGTACATACCAATTCATACATTTAAAGTCCAAATAGAAAAAAACTAGCGCAAGTGTAGGTACGCCAAATCCCGACTTGGAATAAATCGCCCAATTGTTTAGTCAAAAGGCGAGTAAATTTATTATCATTTCGAATAATCTTCTCTTTCTTCTTCTTCTTCTTCTTCTTTTTCTTATTCATTTGCGCTACAACTCTTTAATCGATTTTGTCTAGCCAGCTGCCGCCAGTTAGAAACACCAAGTGACCCACCTGGTCTTTTCAATTCGGAGATGGCCTTTGTTTACCACTACTCGCTGTAAAACTCCGTAGACATGTATGTATGTATGTATTTAACTCTTTCTCTGTATATTTTCTCGATCTTTTCGTGGGCCGCCACAGTCAAAAATAACACTTGCCGAGTCTCCGTTTAATTTCCAGCGGGGTCGATCAGTCTCAGTCCATTATTAGACGGCTGAGTATCATTGATGTCGCCTAGCTAATTTTCAGGTCGTGATTGGGAAGTACTAGTAGGTGTCTAGACCAGTGATTCCCAAAGTGGTCCAGGTGGACCCCCAGGGGTCCACGAGAGACTCGACGGGGGTCTACGATGGCGTGAAAAAAATATGAGGGTCCACGAAAATGGATCAAGCAACCATCCTCTTTATTTAACTTTAATTTTTTTGAGTGGTGTGTAGGCTCTTGATGCACTGCTGCACTTACCGTCACTTTGTGTCTTCATACGTGGTGAACCTTAAAGGACACCTTCAGACTAAAAAGAAACCGATATTCTTATAACACTGATTGGGGCGAGGAGAAAATTGCTGGCGGCTGAGGTTTGAGCACTTGTGTCGTTTCAGTGATATGGGATAGTACGCCACCACGATGTCGAGAGCAAAGGTGGCGCCCATCTCGATACCGCTATTCCGCTATCAGTGAATTTGACAGAGTTCCCTGAGGCTGAATGCTGGTTTAATTCCAGCACTCACACATTGTCGAATCTTCACTGATGGCTCCAAGCTGACTCTGTGTCTGGACCTGGGGTCTTTTTCGAAGCTAATTGGGATAAGCTTCACTTTTCGCTGGGGGAATATGCCCCGATCTTCCAGGCTGATGGCAATAGACTACGTGGTGGAGGGAAAGGAGTTTACTTACCTGAAGTGACAACCAGGCTGCAATTAAGGCATTGGCCAGCCCTCTATCTAAGTACTTCCAAACTAGTTCGGCAATGCAAGTCTCGACTTATGTTATTACTAAAAAATAGAACTCCTCAGAGCGAGAGAGTACTTTGATCGCTTTACGAACTCTGTTTTTTAAAACTTGCAGGTGTGTAATCACATTATTTTAATAAATGGAACACAAGAAAATATTTTATTTTTATTTTTACCACTCCGAATTTAGTTTCGGAACTCACCCGCGATGCAAATTTACATCGTTCGATCTAATCTTCACATTTTTTGATGAGCTTTGGGAATATGTTAGAATTGTAGCAGCTGGGGGTCCACCGAAACCAGTAAGGTTTTGAAAAGGGTCTACGGGGAAAAAAGTTTGGGAACCTCTGATCTAGACCCTAAATCCGTGGCGGCGTAGGCAAAGATTATCGAGATGTTGAAAGTTCTCACTTTAATGAGAATTGTGGCGAGATCGTGTTTTCCGGAATGACTAACAGTACTTGGTGACGAAGTGTTTCTGCAACGTCCTATGCTCTCTTACCTTGGCCTGCCAAATGCACCTCTTTGATGATCGTAATGTCTAGCAGATACATATATGCCGTGAAATCGTAAAATCTTGTTGGAAGGATAGTTTTTTCACCAAGTGGCCAAAGGGACGAGTTTCGTTAAAAATTATTGTTTACGACATACAACAATACGACACTTACGACATCGTTGTGAATACCCCATATGTATGTATGCGCGTACCACGCCATACGTAATTAGAAAATAATCTAGAACCCAAATGCTCGCCGGTAGTATTGTTTTCTGTTCTGCATGCATGGAATGGGCGTCTTCAAATGCATCGCCAGCAGGCACTTTTGGAGCAAGTGAATGCCCGGAGGCATACACACACATACACACATATGTACGTATAAATCTACATTAGGGTGCTCAAAAAAA